ATAAGTTGCTCTTTTTTTGTGCTTGTTTACTTTGTACATTGATAGCATCTTGTCTGTTTCTCTTTCTCCTAACGAACAAATTTCCTTGCTGTTTCTATTGCTCTTCCAAACCTTCAGGCAGAAGAGGAAGAAAAAACAGCAGTCTATGCACAGCAGAAAAATGTCCCTGTGAAATTACAACAGGATAAAAGTGGAAATGCTTTAGAGCTGAAATCTATTTTCCTTTTTTGTGGATAGATAATTCCAAGCTGCTGCAGCCCCCGTAAGTCTTTACTCTGTGGGGAAGCTTGGGACTCTGCCGTATTGGTCATTTCATCAAAATGAACGGTTAATGGTCACGGAGAAGGAGCAAGCCGTAATTGCATGGGCAGCATGAAGCAGGTTGGTGTGGCCTGACATGAAATGATTCCCACAACCCACTCGCTGGGAGATTTGGTCTGGTGATCGCAGCAGGGCAATGCCTGGTAGAAGCACTGCTGATGCGCTCTAGCAGGATGCTTCGTTGGTTCTGAAGGTGGGATCAGGACTGGATCTCCTGACAGCAGTGTGCTTGGAGGCTCCCTTGCTTCTTGCCTGGTGTTGGCCATGTGCCATTGCCTGGGGCCAGGCACACAGGTCCTGGGTTTGTCCTTGCTGTAGGTCCCTGAGCACACCCTAAAGCATTGTGTCCAACCACAGGCCTTCCCTTTGGTGCTATCACCATAAACAGTCATCTGTGGATATGAGGTAATTTTGCCCTCAAGTGCCACTTTCACACCGTAGAGTAGGTCAAAAGGCCCGTGATGCCTGATTATAGGCAGTGTATGGTGCTACTTGCTATCACCTGCTTTTCTAGAGCCCTTGCAAAGCATAGTCCACTTGGTGCTAAGACTTTTGGATTTCACAAAGGCCAGAGCAGCTTTCAGCTTCTGCTCCTAGCTAAGATCTGGTACAATTTGACCACTGTACCGGATCTTTACTGGAGCTTCCTCAGGGCTAAAACAAGGTGTTCAAAATTGGATAAGCTACTACACTGGGAATTAAATTGAAAAGCAAATTTATAGAATTTGTAATCCCTTAGAAAATCAGACTATTTGATCTTTCTCCATTTATTTTAACCAAATCAAATAAAACAAATTGAAATTGCAGAGAACCAACTTGAATAAATCCCAGTGCAGCCACATCCAGAAGAACAACCAACTCTAACCCTGAAACACATCTAGAAACATGAATAATTCTGCAAATACACTACATTTTTTTTGTTAAAAGAGCCTTGCTCTTAGCACTGCTTCCAGTGTCTGACCAATCTGTGATACACATCTCAGAGCAGAGGATTTTTCCATTAATGTAGTGGTCTGAATGTGCCTGTTGTGAAACACTGAGCACACATCACTAGCGTTCACTTTGAGCCAAAGAACATCTTTGATGACAATCACTTGATTTTTCTCTCTACTCCAAATATTACTTCTTGTTTCCATTGGACTCTTCGTTCCTTGTAAAAACAAAGCAAATTCTTGCAGTACATCAAGGGGAAAAATGCAGTTGGGTAAACAATACGAAAACCAACACAAAAGTTCTATTTCGATAAATGAAGAAAAATCAAATTTCAGGCATCATGAAGAAATTTTCTGAGGCATCACATGACAAACCCCACAGACAGGTTAGTTCTTGTGCAACCAAGAAAAATGCCATCTCCCCAGTATTCCTACCATGTCTCTGCAATATGATTTTTAAAGTGGCTCCTTGAGGTTGCTTGAGCATACCTAAAAAGATAAATAAATGGTTTTTTCTTCCAGCTGCCAGTTAAAGTACTAGAGACATGTTTGCTGCTGCTGAGTGACATACATCTATTCAAATCCCTTCTGAACTAGAATCAATATTAGCTAGATTCATTACCTCCTGCTTTATTGGCAGGTTGGGTGCTTGTTCAGAAAACAGTCCCTCCTAGTAATGTAATAAAGCCCCCACCTTGGAGATAATTAGGTTGTCTGAGATATAACATCCACTGATGATCATTCCCTGCTGATTTCGGCCTGCTGCTCCAGCTCAGGTTGCAGTCTCCATCACTACACACACATCAGACCATCTGAGTCTCATCACCTAATAATTGCCATAGTAGATTTATTTAGATTTTTTTTTTTACTCTTCTATAATAACAGCAACCAGTCAAACCTCAGAGTGTCATTAACATGCTTTTAAAAATGCTCTAAAATGGCTCTGTCAATTACCTCGAGATTTAATATCCCGGCCACAACACAGCTATCCCTCACTCTAACAACAAATCCCTCCGGGAGTGCGCACATGACACCACCATTCCCCACATTTCCTTTGGGTTCTCTGTGTACCCCAGAGGCTAATAAATTCAAGCTCCAAATTGGGAGCAGGAACAGAAACACCCTCCAAAAATGCTGTGAACATTCAGACACGGCCTTGCCAACTGTCTTTCTCTACCCCTTTTCCTGATGCCTTGATGGGTTCCCAACTTAAGCATCCTCACTTGTCATTAATTTTATTACTCATAGATGGGGGAACCGCAATCTGATGCATCCACTCACACTTAACTCACATCCTCTGATGCTGTGGTCCAACCCATCCCAAAAGGTCTAATGCATTCAGATTTTGTGTTTTACTATTGAACATACTTGCTCTTGGCTTTGACCATTGAAGGATAAGAGAAAAAAATTCCACTCTGTTAGATATGTCAGCCTGTAAATGATGGTTTGTCTGTCCTAACAGGTGGGAATACATTAACTTGGCAAGTCCCCTGAGGCCTTAAGGTCATCTTCCTAATTATACTCACGTCTTTAAACAATGGGATGACTGGCAGGAACTCTATGCAAAGTATAGCAGATGAGACAATACTTACTAGTCCTGAGCTAAAAAACAGTGTAAGTAGGAATATTTATTCCCCATTTTTAGGCATTTAAAACCAAACCTTACCCAGTGGTATTAAATAGTTAACTAAACCAGGAAGAGGCTGAAAAAGAAAGAACTGATGCACAAAGGGAAAGTGGGTTTCCTTTAAACATTAATAGTTTTGATGTATTTCTCAAAACAATCACAAGGACTCTAGGTGTGGAGGTGGCATTTTCCCCTTGTGCATGAGAGCTGGAAGTTCTCCCCTGGCTGTTTCAGGCTGTGACTCTCGTGGGCATAGTGCCTCCATTGGAGGCTTTCTCCAGTCATGGCTTTTTGCTGACACATTGCAATTTATTGACTTTCTAGGAACTTGCTAGAACTCAACCCTTAAATCCATACAAGCTACTAATATATAGATATTCCATAGATATTGGATTGGTATTTAACTTCCCACCTTTTGGACAATTCCAAAGCAGTAGTCCCTAAACTATGTCTCACAAACTACGCCTCACAAACTACCTATAATCTAATCAGCCCTTTTGACATTGCTCATGACCTTAGCAGCCTGCCACCACCATGGTTCAGGTCATCAGGGAGAACAACGAATAATATTTCACAATGTGCAAAATATTGTTGCTGTGTTGAACATTTTTTGTTCAATATTGTGGTCTGTTGGCTAGCAAAGGCAGAAGTCCACCAGCATAGGTAGATTGCCAAATCCTGGGATCCCCGGGAAACATCCCAGTAGTCTTGGAGTCTAGCCTGAGCTTGGATAAATGCAATGTATTACAATAAACAAAGCACTTAATTAATGAATGCTGACATTGTACCTTCCGTGGAACAAACAAAGAGGAAAGCATGGCCCTCTGCCCAAAGAGCCTACAGTCTAAACGAGACTGGCAATACAGATCAGACACACAAGACATACAGAGGGAAGTCTGACACTTCAGCTTTCCCTTTGTTTTATGTAAATACAAATATAGACAGTGGCAGCAGAAAGTAAAGCATCTCTCTCCAGGACCCCATGGTTTTTCTTATCCTCCTGTCCATAAGCAAGTTTAGATTTTATCTTTCCTTCGTCTTCCTGCTGTCTCCCTGTGAACACACGTCTCTTTTCACATTAAGTTCTTCCTAATTTAAACCCTATTTTTTTAAAGTCTTCCACATTTAATCCTACCAACTCAAAACATGTCCCTCCAAAAGCAGATCATCTCACCTCCTCCCCTCACTTGACCTAGGTCACCCACCTCCCTGGTTCAAATACTCGCACATATTTAGATCAAAAGCTCATCCATCGCACCACTCTAAGGTCTTTTCTTCCTTTTCCTACAACTCCTAACAGCCTACAATCTTTGCACAGCTTATAATCTCCTCTGCCCACACAAGATCCCATCTCTCCCCATCCCGTCTGAACTCTTCCATTTCCATCAAGATCATGAGAACCTGTCAATAAAATCACACCCTCAGACAATGCACTTAGACCCTGAGGACTGGATGCAGGAGGAACTGTTAGTATCTACAGACGGTAGGGATATGAATAAAAAGTCCTTTATTCAGAGTAAGTTAGTATACCACAGGAATTATTTTGGATCCCTTCACTGTCTATACTATAAGAAAATGAAACACGTGTAGTCTATAAACATATCATGTACAAATGTAGATCACAACTCAAAACTAAGTACCTTCCCACCTCCAAAGCATGTTATTTTTGGGACTAGCATTTGTTGATTTGTTTATCTTCCTTTGCCAAAAGCTGAGAATTCATCATCTGTCTAAATCCCTCCAGCTTTTCTGTTTCCATTCCTCTTTCACTTCCTTTAAAATACTCTCCATTCAGCCAAAGTGTTACTTAGTTTTCACTATTTTTTTAACTGAGAAATTTAAACGTATTGAAAAAGAACTGTAATAAGGCTCCAAAAGATTTTAGACCTGAATAAGCAACACACAAACTTCTCTTCCCTGCAGTTCAGAAAATTGTATTACTATGCACAATATTGTCATTATCCTCTCTCTTATTACGACTGACACAAGAAAGTTGAAATATCTGTTTCATGCTGCTGAGAAGTGGACAGAACTGAAGGAAAACATAGGAAAAAAACAAAACAAAACAAAACAAATGCAACAAAACAAACCAGAAGTGGAGATATTTTTAAAGCACTTACCCAGCATCAGTGCTATTGCCACACAGTAATACATCTTCTGTACCATTCTTTATGAAATAGTTCACTGCAACAGAAATAGAGAAATGGCTTTTTAACAAGTACATTCTGGGAATGATAACATTCACAAATATCATCCACCAACCAGCATATTCAATTGGGACAGTAATTGAGAGATGAATGGCACGCTTTTGCTTTGTTTTGCTAATTTTAACTTTTATAAATTGTAAAAACAAATATATTTTTTCAAAGCTCTTTAAGCACTTGCTGTTTGTATTCCAAATCTGACCAGTTTAATAAGGTGGCAGCAGGGCTGTGGGCAGTGTATGTAGGAAACATCATCTAGCCACGTCCCTGGCTATTCTGAGAACATTGTTACTGAATTCAGTGTAGCACTATGTAGTGAAACCAAACCATAAGCTTGCCCATAACTTTTAGACTTTACACTGATGAGATACATATTAATTGAAGTTTGTGATAGAAATTCCTGACTCACAGGTTAAAAATAAAACCAGCTATAAGTCAAAATGTAATAATACTAACAAAGCAGCCCACTCCCTCAATCTGGTGGATTCTGCCCAGCACAGAAAAAATACAGTACAAAGCAAAAGAAACAGAAAAATGCACCCTGCTAAAGATCAAGCAAACAGGGAAGTATTCATAAAGACAAATATTTATCAACGCAGTCATCTGTAATGGCAATGGAGAGAGACAGACACTTCTTGAGGGAGACTCAGAGGAGCAAGCTAAATTTAAGTGCTCTGGATCATTCCCTGGTTGACTATCAATGAGGCTTAAGGACATTAGCTAATGAGAGCCTTTGTGTACACACTCGCTCTTCTATCCCCAGCCAACAACGCCTAACATTCAGAGAAACAGAACAGGAAGCCAGCTTCTCAAAAGGATAAGCAAAAAACTCTCTCAGTTTTCCAGAGAGAGCCTGAAGAAAAGAGATGTTCTAAGGAGGATCTCTAAAACCTGAATGTTGGCATGGAAGAACAGATAAAAGCATTGATCTAGAAACATGATACATGCAAAGCACAAGCCAGCAGCTGACTGATGGAGGGTAGATACACCAGTGTGTTTTGCTGCAGCAGAGAGGATGGGATTCCCTGTTGACATAAGACATGATGGTGGCAGCCTTGCACAGCATGTGTTTGTGAGCAGAGGGGCCTCTGCAGATGATGCTCAGAAGAGGTTCTCCATTCTAGGCTAACCCTCTGTTGTGAAATGTTTTAAAAATCAAGAGTGACAGCTTATCCAGGCAGGCTATGCAAAGAATGCTCAATGGCACAAGCCACTGAACAGATGTGCTGTGGCTTTCTCAGTAAGCTGTGAGCAGTGGAAAAGCCCTGCCCTGCTGCATGCCAAGAGGGAATTACTGTCCATGAGCTTGTGGTTACGAGGGCACGTGATGGTGTTCACAAGTTATCAGAGCATATATCCTGTTCAGAGTGTATGCTTTTCCACTTTGTCTTACATGTGGGCTTTCTACGGAAGCATCTTGACTGACAGCAACACCCAGGTATTCAATATGGTTAATGATCTGTGACCAATCACCACAAATGGGGGAAGTATGGCATGTCTTCCATCTCCTTTCACCCTCCACTTCTGCTGGTGAAAGGCTTCTGCTTTTCTGAGGACAGATGGTATCTTATTTGGGATACGTAGTGACACAAACCCATCAGACTCTGGGGTACAGAGGAAATATGGCACAACCATGACACAAGAGATAGACAAACAACTGCAGAGATTCTGCACCTTGTTTTGAAATGGTCACCACATGGGGTACCCTGAACTTCACAAACATGCACTGCTCCCTGGGAATTGCAACTTTTCATACGGCAAATACTAAGACCAGGAGGACCACAGATCTGCCACTGTGTGTTGATCACTTTCTTCAAACGATGACTGAAGCTCTGGAGCACAGTGCTGGCTGAAGACTGAACCAACACCTCCTGGTCAGCCAAATCAGAAGATGAGAACAGAGCCAGAGCACAGAAATAAGGAGGAAAAGGAGGCTCTGTGTGCAAACAGGAAATTTAAAATCTCAAGAACAGACAAAATTCTGTTGCCTGCTGTTGACTTAAACATCTGCATTTATAAAACAAGCAATATGGTAGGTGCCAAAGAGTGCTATGAAATGCATGCTGAGGAACCCATGCATAGATGCTGCTGGGAGGGGGTATCTTCACCACGGAGCCTGCAACTGCACAGCAGAGTGTCACAGCTACCGTGCCAAACTTCAGCCTGAGGAAGAGCTGAATTGCTGATTGCCTACTGATAAATGAAGGGAGGATTAGAATATTATACTCAAGGAGACAAATCACTGTATTATCTAAAATGCGTACAACAATCAATTTGTCACTCAAAGCAAGTTGGTTTGGATTTTGATCAAGCATGCCGGGCAATCAGAGGTCTTTAAGAAGCAAGCAGTCATCACTCTTGCATTCAAGAACAAACCACTTTGGTATCATATTAACCCATGGCCTCAGCTTTCCACCAGTTAACTCTAACATGGACAAAGAACATAAAACTCCTTTTTCATTTACAGTAGGATTTTCTCTCTGAAACATAGACTGCTCAAACTGATCACTGTCACCTGAAAACACAATGACTTTTTCATTGTCTTGGAAGATTCCAATTAGGTTTTGTTTTCTTTTGTCAGTTTTTTCACTGAAAAATTTCCTCATGTCAATGGGAAACAAAATAGGAAAATGAAAGTGGAAAACAAAACTGAAAACCTCCATATTAGATTTTTTTTTTCAATTTTTAAAATAAAATCAAGCCAAACAATGACATTGGTACATGTGCATTTCTGTACATAATCTTTATGCAACATGCCATTCTTTCCAAAGGTAATTGTCTTCTTTTTTTCTACCATCTTTACTAAAATGTTGACGTCACCATTATGGTATATACAATGCCTTTTAGGAACTTTTCTACAGGAATTTCCAGAGTAAGATTACTACTTGATCATATTAAAAGAATTAAACAAAAAGGGTCAGAATAACACTGGCTTCATATCAGTTTCTGGTCGGTCACACATTATTTACTCCATTGTTGCCAAATAAACTCATCTATTTTTCAATAATACAAAACATTTTCTGTCAGTACTCAGCAGTCAAAAATTCAACAGAAACTTTTCCTAATAACCAGATGTTATCTTCTCTAAAACATATGCATATTTGTGCCTGAACCTTATAAATCCATACTAAGACTCTCTATCTCCAATGCTCCTGACATAGTATTACTTGTATTAGGTTGATTCTGTTGCCATTAAATATGTGTATGATGAATCCATATGTTGGTGTTGTCTTCCCAGGGCTTGTATTTTAGAGGTGCCGAGTTCAGTAAAATAATCCTGTAAAGTGAGTGCTCACAAGCAGCTTATTACCTTCTTACAGAGTTTTGTCTACCTGCAAAGGACAGTGAGATGATGGCAACTCCTTCAGCCAAAGTGGCTCAAGCACCAGTTACAGTAAAGATTTGGCCCAAACCCACACCCCTTGCTGTGTGCAGGGTATGACGAAGCTCACACTACCATAACCTCACTTCAACTAGTACTTGTGCCAGTTAGATGGAAAATAGTAGAGGTTTACTGTGAATCACATCTTACTTGGCAGTGACATTAACACACCTGTAGCATCAAAGAGCAAATGCTCCTCTAATGAATTCCCTGAGTTGTTTTCAGGAAAGGGTTAATAACAAACATTACTCAGCCCAGTTGTTATACATTACATTATTATTTGGTAGGGACTACAGATGTGACGTGGAGCCCAGACAGCAAAACACCGTGACTGTGGAGTGGAGTAATGTCTGCTCTTCCCCATCACCAGCAAATGGACTTTATACTAAACACAGAAAATAACATTTACTAATCCAGCTCTCAGTTACATTTACATAAACTCAAAGTAATTCAATCTCTCCAGAATCCTCAGAGCTCCTGACTTTCCAGGGACACCAGGAAGCTTGGTAGCCCTAACGATCAGCGGTCCCTTAAAGCTTAAGTTTGCAACAGCGTTAGGAAGATGAAAATATATCACCCCTTTTTTTCCTCCTATAACACCACGAGTTGCTGTGTCTCCATGCTCTGCCTGCTACACTGCTCAAAGCACACAGCATTAACCCTAGTTTTAAAGTTGCTGTATGCAAGTAGTGAGGAAATACACAAATTCCTGTAGACTATTCTTGCAATGTCTTCCTTCCAAAGTAAATTCCTCAAGCTTCTCATAATTTCTGCTGTTTCATTCTACACTTTTTTCCAATTGATCAGTCTTTCAGGTTTCTGCATTGCTCCCTTCTGCACCAGGCAATTCTAACAGAGCAAACATTCACGATAGCTCCACCTGTCAAGTTAAGAAAAAAAAAAAAGGCAAACTTCCTCAAAAAAAAAAAAACTTATTCTGATTAAAATTATGCTCCAGCATAATTTCCACACCTACATCACACCACTGAGCAGAAAGCCAGTAGGGTACGTAGAGCTGCAGGATAGAAGTCCTCCTCATTTCTATGCAAAGGAAAGGAAAAGTTTCCAGTTCAGAAAAATGGAAAAGGTTAGAGTCAGCTTAGAAAACATGGTTTCTGGGTCCAACTTCTGTTCCTCCTTCAAAGACCCAAGTGAAATTATATTTTGACTCGTCTTACAACAAATTCATTCCAATTTGAAAAAAATGTATATATTATCACACTTGTATAAAGAGCAGCATTCAAATATCATTAGTCACTGCCCAGAGTAGAGTCCTCTGGCTGACTTTCTAACAAAAACTTCAGAGAGGTGTCTGTTATCTCAGACTATTTATTGCAGCCACACGGGTGCTCTTTGGTTGGAGGCTTTCTCCCTGTGCTTCGTTGGGCACAGAGCACTGACAGCCACCAAACATCCCGATTCCAAATTTAAAATGCAATTCAGAAAGCCCCGTCACCTTACAGTTGTGATACATGACACAGAAACAAAATAGATAACACCTCCTCCTTGCCCTTCCGCCCACCGGCACAAACACACTATACCTCCTGGTAATACACAATAATTAAAACGAATCCTTGCTGCACTTGCTGTGCGCACAC